TCGTCGCACCGTTATCTCGCTCTGTGACACCCCTTGCCGCCAAGGAAGTTAGACAGCTGAAGCGAGGAGTGAAGGCATCATCGGGGAGAACCCTGCCTGCAGGGATCGACAGCGGAAGAAAATCAACTTTGCAGGGGGCTTGAGCTGGGAGGATGCCTGACCTGCAAGTTATACGCTTTTCCTGCGTCCAGCTCAGCAATTGACTTGCGGGGGAAGGGGCGGGGACGAGAAGACAAGCCTCAACTTTGCGCGCGAGAATATTGAGTCAAATCCCCCGTGGAGAGATTTCCAACCCGAAGGAAGCAAAGTTTAGGCTCTTTCTCTGGGTTCTTGGGATGCACATCCATGTGCTCAGGTAGCGAAATCACGAACAACCGGCAGGTTGCGGCCATGGAGATGGGAAATTGGTCCCGCAAGGAGCCGAGCGAGATTGCATGATAGGATGAGAGGGAGAGGTACAGGCCGATGGGGATGATAATTGTTGACCTCAGCATTCGGGCGGCTGGTATATATTAAGCAGTGCCAGACCCAACTTTTCTATGAGATCGGCAGGATCTTCGACAGCGACGAAATCCCATATCTACTTAGCCTCCTTCATCCCAAAGCTGCCCTTCTTTCCTTCGTTAAGCAGAGCACAGAATTCATCATGAAGTCGCAATTGTTGAGCCTGGCCGTGGGCCTCTCGACCATCTCACAAGGCGTTGCTGCCACCGACCCCATCGGATGGCCCTTCAAGCCTATGGTCTCGCAAGTGAGTATCAATAAATCGATCGATCGATCGTCCCCGTCCCTGTCACTTATAACTCCACAAAAATGCCCAAAAAACCACAATGTTCCTGGGGAATTCTTATGTGCTGATGCAAATGTATAGGATGACCTGCAAAACCAGATTAAGCTCAAGGATATCATGGGTGGTCTCCAGAAGCTACAAAGCTTTGGCGATGCTCATCCTGAGAAGAACCGAGTGTTCGGCGGCAAGGGACACAAGGACACCATTGACTGGATCTACAATGAGATCAAGTCCACTGGCTACTACGACGTGAAGAAGCAGGAGCAAGTTCACCTGTGGTCTCACGCCGAGGCAGCCATCAGTGCCAATGGCAAGGATTACGATACCAGGGCCATGTCCTACAGCCCTCCCGCACAGAAGCTCACTGCTGAGCTTGTTGTTGCCAAGAACAACGGCTGTAATTCTGTATGTGCTAGACTTCCTTTGTATATGTATGGAGGAATGTAGGAGAGCTAACAGCTGCAAATAGACCGATTACCCTGAGAACACCCAGGGCAAGATTGTTCTCGTCCAGCGTGGTATCTGCAGCTTCGGCGAGAAGTCCGCTCAGGCTGGTGATGCAAAGGCCGCTGGTGCCGTTATCTTCAACAACGCCCCAGGATCCCTTGCTGGAACCCTTGGTGGCCTTGACAAGCGCCATGTCCCAACTGCTGCTATTTCTCAGGAGGATGGAAATGCTCTTGCTGCCCTCGTTGCCGCTGGCAAGGTTAGCGTCACCATGAACGTCGTTAGCTTGTTTGAGAACCGAACCACGTAAGTAGACTCGCCATTTGTTGTCCCGGCATTGATAGTCACAATTATACTAACTGGCTTCGTAGCTGGAACGTCATTGCTGAGACCAAGGGAGGAGACCACAACAACGTTATCATGCTTGGTTCCCACTCCGACTCCGTCGATGCCGGCCCAGGTATCAACGACAACGGCTCTGGCTCCATCGGTATCATGACCGTTGCCAAAGCCCTGACCAAGTTCAAGGTCCGCAACGCCGTTCGCTTCGGCTGGTGGACCGCTGAAGAATTCGGTCTTCTCGGCAGCACCTTCTACGTCAACAGCCTCGATGACCGTGAGCTCCACAAGGTCAAGCTGTACCTCAACTTCGACATGATCGGCTCTCCCAACTTCGCCAACATGATCTACGACGGTGATGGTTCCGCCTACAACATGACCGGCCCTGCTGGCTCTGCTGAGATCGAGTACCTCTTCGAGAAGTTCTATGACGACCAGGGTCTCCCACACGCCCCCAGCGCCTTCACCGGCCGATCCGACTACCAGGCCTTTATCAAGCGCAACGT